TACTTAAGATAAACTATGGGCGAAATACTTTTGACATATATTTATGTTTCCGAAACATCCAAGGCCGAAATGTTTTGCTCCGAATTTTATTTTGAATGTTTTACAATATGTGTTTTTGCTCCGAATTTTATTTTGAATGTTTTACAATATGTGTTTTTGCTCCGAATTTTATTTTGAATGTTTTACAATATGTGTCATATATTAATTAAACATAACGATCCCCAAAAATGAGGTAAATGTCAGACGAATTATGCCAGACTGACATATACACATTACAGTCATTCCATACAGCAAATAAAGTTGACCTATTCCTTATAGTATATTAGAAACGAACCTTACCACGAAAACTAAAAACATTGACCAAATAAATCATGAAATTGAGATCAATGTCAGATGAAACTACCTGACGGACACTATACATTTAGTTACATATGGCCCACATGAACCTTAAAAACCTTATGTACACTGTAAATAAAAATGTTAAGAATCTGAACACTTTTTGAACGCACTTTTGTAACACTTCTGGAACGCGTAACAGTGTTCTAAATATTAACATTGGTGTTCCAGTTTTTAACATCATGTGTGCATATTTCGAACGCTATGTGTGTTATTCTTGAACGGATAGTGTGTACTCCTTGAACGCCTAGTGTTTGAATCTGGAACGCGTAACAGTGTTTTAAATATTAACATTGGTGTTCCAGTTTTTAACATCATGTGTGCATCTTTCGAACGCTATGTGTGTTCTTCTTGAACGGAGTGTGTACTCCGTGAACGCCTAGTGTTTGAATCTGGAACATTTCCTTGTGAGCAAAATTGTACGCCTTTACGCGTTCCAAGCCTTGTAACACTTCTGGAACACTCGGACTGTGTTCCAGAAATATGTGTTAATATCCAGAACACATAGTGTATACTACTGGAACACAATTTTACATGTTCCAGAAAAAAAGTGTTCCATTCTCTGAAACATTATTGTGGTCTTGTAAAAATAATAATTTAATTGATTAAAAACATCTTTAATTGATTAAAAGAGGCAAAATTAAAAAAAGTACAAAAATGTGAAATATTGAAGCAACTTTAAAATGGCCAGTTAGACAAGTTAGAAATATAACCTCTGACAACGAAAAATTACACTATAATTTAATTGGCAAAATGTGTCCAAATATTTAATCAGACAAAATTTTCGTCACATTCAAAATTATTATGTTACAACAAAGTCTAGTGGCTTATGAACACAGTTTAACTCATCGTTTGCAATTTCTTAAGTCAAGCACTGTCCTGAATTTCTTCATAAAAAACTGATGTCAATGGCTCGTTTATCACCAATATTTCCATAATCCACAGCCTGCATAGCTCTCAGATAGTCAATATCAAACATAAAATACCCTGTATATATGCTGCTAGTGGTCGAGTCGGTGTTCATGTAACACTGCTACCTTGTGTATTTTTAAACATGATTTGAGTAGTCTACAACTGTTTTTGAGCTTCTATTTTCAAGAGGATTCGTCTCCTTGGGTTATAACTACTCCTTAACCTTGTTATCCATCAACCGTAAGTTCTGAAATGTCAAATATAAAGTGTATGAGTAAACAAATTATTGATCATGTCGATATTCCTTAAGAATTAGAAACTCTTATTTCGTTTTTGCAATTCTATTATATTTGTCAGCATTACTAGTATTAGAATTTTTTGCAATATTTGATAAGATGCATGTGTTAAAGAGTGGTATACATGTATTTTCAAGTATAGGGGCTCTCGTGTTCTCTAGCTTTTTGAAAAAAGATGATAGGAAGTGTACAGCAAATGGTCATAGGTGTTTTAGGCAAAACTTTGTCTTTAGACGTGTCACTAAATTAACTGCTAACATTTCAAGAAACTAATGACTATTTGCCTGTTTTAAAAAAGATATGTAGGAATTTCACTTATGATCTGTATACGGATAATTCCAATTTAAATTGATGTAATTATATTGGATTTAACTAAATTAGTTTTCTGATTCATGTACAGAAGTGAATGGTGCACATTTTATTGATAAATCTGCATTAACAAAACTTCAAAAATTGTAAGAAGTCAATGGGCAGTCCTAATATTCTTAAACTTACATAAAGTACTTTTATGGTGCAGGATAAGTCTTTATCTCTTCATTCTCGAGGTATGCACGAACAATTACCCCTAAGTACTGTAGTTGTGTTTGTACCCTATAAAAGTAACATAGGAATACATTACAATACATGTATGAAGTGCACAACGGTGGGCATTTGCTAAAATGAATTACTAAGAATTAAGTATTTCAGAATGAGAAAGCTATTAAAATCAGATACATTAGAAATTTAAAATTAGTGTGTTGCAGTATGCCTTTTTACAGACCTCTGTCTTGACATTGCAATGGCATGACAGTTTTTGTATATGTGAACAAATCCTTATGCATTGTTTTTATTTTATTAACAAATGTACATCCTCAAAAGTGTGTATAATCGCGTGATCTTCTTGTTACTTTATATACATAATGTTTGGAACACATGGCGTTCAGGGAAAACGATTAACTGGAACGCATCATGTTCGAGACCAGAACACATTTACAATAGCAACGATACCATTAGCATTTACGTATAAATTTACATTGGTTAAAAATAAAAAAAACATGATCATTTAAATGTATTCTCTCAAAGAACCTCCTACTTTTTTTAATCGAATTATGGCATAACAGCACAGTTATGTGTTCAAACAAAATTTTCTACTTCCATTTATACTTCAGTGTGTCCTGTCAAAGTAGAAATTACTTTGTTATAAATATAGATATACATACATATTAAATCATGTTTTGTTGTTAATTTTCTTCAGTGAAGCTTCTTCAACACAGGCACTTGTTTCTATCCATGGCAAGATCTACTATCCCTTTATATTACGTAACATACAGGGATAGTAGATCTTGCCATGGATAGAAAACAAGTGCCTGTGTTCTTCAATCGCGATCAAAAACCAAACTTCCGGTACATTAATACGTCACGCGCTGTTATGTACGCGGACATGTTTGGAACACATGGCGTTCGGGGAAAATGGTAAATTTGAACGCATCGTGTTCGACACCACAACGCTTTTACAGTAGCAACGCTTTCATGAGCATTTACATATTTACATTGGTTAAAAAATATACCCAAAGAACTTAAGTAGTTTAGAAAAAAGATGTATATTAAAAATCAATCATTTGCACGCTTATAAATACGCTCTTGTAACATGGTTTAATTCTTTTTTTACCAAACTGATAATTTGCTTATGTTGATACAGCTAAAATACATTTATCGTCAAATTATAATACGAATCACCCTTATTCATCGTCTGTTTGACTCTGAAGCGATGAAATGTTTTTTCACTCCCCATTACAATATTAGAACACTAAAGTGTTCAATTTAGAACACTGGTCTTGAACATATGCGTTAAAAGACTGAACACAATGTGTTATATTTTTTAACGCTGTCGTTCAATGTGGAACACTAATGTTAACAACCGAACATATTGTGTTTAAAATTGGAACGCGTCCGGACGCGTCAGGCGTCCGCAATATTTACAGTGTACACTTGTCCGTCCAGTCGTCGAATATTCTTCCTCTGTTAGGGATCCAAAAAACATTTCCTTATGCCAGATTTGGTTGACCCATTACATGGGGTAGCCTAAAACGGACATAGGCACGAAAACTTGAAGTTGACCAATGCACAATGAAAAAGTAATCAAAATCAATTGAAGCATGCCAAACGGACATGTGCACCTCTGACATCATAATTCCATATACCACATTTAGTAGTATCCTGCAATTAAGTCATCTAATGTGCAAATAACAGGTATAGAGATACATTTTTGGAAGTACACCACTGAATTCATGGCCCCATTGCTTTCTATGTTAAATTCCTCAATTTCAAGCAGGCACAGCTCTTTTGTTTGAAGTTCAAATAAAGTGACAATCATTGCATGTCAAAGCAACACTTCATGGTGCCCTGTACTGAAAAAATCAACATACCTTTAATGGCATATAAGAAATAACTAGTTCCCGGAACTTCGGAAGTACCAAAACAGGTACTCCAGATCTGACAAACAGGCAAAATTGCCCTCTTTTTTAAATTTCATGCATTTTTTTTATTATTCAAAATTATAAGTCAAAAAGTAATCTACAATAATCACCAGTCATTCAGCTTTCATTTGATACCAAAATTACATAAATATTCTACATATTTTGAAAGTTACACCCATGCGTAGGAACTATTTTGTGTTAAATATGTACTACTTTCTGTATGTGCTTTCTGGCCGGGCCCGAATTAGGGGTGTTACACCTTTTGCTTTATCGTACCACTTGTACAAATTAACTCTCCTGTTACCCCGCTTTCATGTTAAGCAAGCGGTAATGTGGATATTTCTTTTTGTGTAACGGTGTCCTCTTCGCGGTCCGTGTTTAAACTGTGTCTATTTCTTTGGAAAAGTAGATAGGGCAATGATTTGGATTTTTGACACTTAAAGCTTCAAGTGCCGGGTGTAAATTGCACGATAAAAATAAAATATGTACATAGTCGGTAATATAAAATGCACTCAAAACGAAACAGGCGAAAAGCTCGTACAAATTTATTTCATAATGTACCTGGGACTATTACATATATAGTCCCAGAATGTACTTATATATATATTGTATATTTACTTCCTGTTGTTATCCAGCTACAAAATATAGTAACAAAGGGATATTTCGTGCAACGTCGATTGGTGTCACGTCAACCTGATTAAAATACAGATACTGTATCGGATATATGATCCGTTTTACTTTTTGTGTTAACATTTGCATAACTTTTTGTAGCTATTTTAGCTACAGAATAAGTTTTTTAGGTCGACGTCTGAAAAATATTATTTTTTTTTGTAATCGGCACGAAATCGTACAAGGGCTCAGTTACCTCGCCCTTTCCCAGATTCGATCTAAGCCTCATACAAAAAAGTTGATATTTTTTTCTGACATTGACCTATTATATTGTATATGTAGTAGTATATTATGAACTTACTTCCTTCCTTATGTAATGGCGTCAGAATCATACACAGGAATAGAGGAAGGTATGGTAATTTTTGCTGTTACATTTTCTCCACGTTTACATATAGAATAATGGCATTTTTGTTTTTGATAATGACTTTACTCAACAAGAATTTCATGCGTGACCGTTAGGGCGAGCTGATCATATTCGAGCTGATGGAGTCAGTATCAAAAAATAAAATGCCATTATTCATTTTATCGGCAATTCGTCTTAACACAAATTCTCTTTGGTTGAGAATATGTTAGTAAAACTACTTTTACGCGTACGAAAGGTTGTGATAGTTGTTCGATCGGTTGTGTATTAAAACTACTTTTACGCGTATATAAGGTTGTGCGGATAGTTGTTCGATCGGTTGTGTATAGTTGTTCGATCGGTTGTGTATTACAACCGATCGAACAACTATCACAACCTTTCGTACGCGTAAAAGTAGTTTTACTAACATATTCTCAACCAAAGAGCAAATGTATGAATGGAGTCGCGTCACATTTTGGGCAGCAATAAGTTCTACATTTTTGTTATTATACACTTCTTGGCATATGCTACTACTTTTAATGACAATTAGAATACGACTACCTTCTTTTTCGAACCCGTCATTCCTGAACACACCTTCAAAGCGCGTGGATGGAAAATCTCAGACGATCAGACATCTTTGTTCATCCACGTTTAGTTACCAATAATAATGTCTAGTTAAGACGATGTTAATTTCAATTTGAGGAACTTTATTTTTGAAATCAATCGGAGAACTCTCAATGGGTTTTGTCTATTTATGATTTTATTTCTGGTTTGCTGAGTCACTGATGGTTTTGGTGATGCTTTAACAACTGCATGGATCTCCTATGGTAACTAAAACCTAATGAAAATGCTGGACTATCTGAAAGTATGAGTAGGAATTAGGATTCAAATTACCTGATGAAAGGTATGATCGAGTAATAGGATTTATCACATATCAGGCATATCCAAAGCGCTGAAGAATTTCCAAACTTTTCCTACAAGGATGAGGGTCTGGATTTGGGAAGGGGGGGGGGGTGTCCTTCATTTCTGTATTCTTTATACTTTGTGCCCATTATTCTGTATTCTTTATATTTAAGCACCTCATTATTCGCTATTCTGTATATTTTTGGTCCATTTTTCTCTATTCTTTATATTGTTGGTCCATCTATCTCTATTCTTTATACTAGTTGCCCATTTTTCTCTATTCTGTAAACCCCCATCCACACCTTCATGGATGGATTTATATTTACACATCCAATACAGACAATCGCATCACTCTCTTGAAAAGATTGAGCAAGTATAACTAGATTCATCCATGCAAATTTTGTGGGCCAGGGTTGGTTTAAACATGGTTGCTTAAAAGGATTCTAGTTGAAAGATGGGTGTGGCGATCTGATTTGCCAAACACAGTTCTATTTTTAATGTTAGACGCATGACGATGTAAGTGCCTGTAATATAACTGGGTTGATACCTCGATAGTTGTATCCCATTAAGGTTATATTGGCTATGTATCGAGATCTACCTTCAAAACCTGAATAGGAGATAAAACGTTGCGATAAGAAGGAAACATTTTTTCAAAACCAATTATGAAGGTATTCTTCCACTCCCCAACAAGAAAAGATCGGTTAATTGATTGGTTGTTGATTGCGTTAGGTCCAGAGACACATATTTGAAGCATTCCGACAGATAAAAAAAGATTTTTATGTTTTGATAATTTGTTGTGATTTTTATGTTTGATAATTTGTTGTGATTTTTATGTTTTGATAATTTGTTGTGTTTTTATGTTTTGATAATTTGTTGTGATTTTTATGTTTTGATAATTTGTTGTGTTTTTATGTTTTGATAATTTGTTGTGATTTTTATGTTTTGATGGTTTGTTGTGTATGCCTATTATATAAATTTAAAGGGAAAATGTATTGGCCATTTTATTACATTTTGTTTTATTCTTTCATTATTTTCTATTGTCAAAGAATGCTGAACAGCTTCTGAGATCGAAGTTAATGCACTGGTTTATTTCATAAGATGTATCATCAACAGTAAAATTACTCATTCTTCTCAACCATAATTTCAACACTGAAACTATCTCTATAATCATGTTTATTTACTTTATTTGTGTGCGTGGATATATCTTCTTACTTTTATTTATTTTTATTAATTTTATATTTTTTCAATATTTTTTGTTTAACTTCTCTGAACCTTTGTAATTGCATGGTTTTATGAGAACAAACTATCTTTAAGCTCCTGCCAGTCTATGCTTTTCAAATTGGAAATGGTGCTCCAACTTAAAAATCTTTTCAGTTAATGCATTCTTAACAAAAATAACAGGAGTTATCTCATTCGAAGAGCAAAGACAAAACTGACCATTCATGTTACAATTACTCTTATCTTGTTAATTATATTGATTAAGCATTCATTCTTATATATACATGTCTTATCAATAGGGATATCCAGTATTTTTGATAAAAATTATTCTTACCAATAGGGATATCCAATATTTTATATATTCTAATTAATTGGGGTATCCAATATTTAAGATATTGTCACCAAAAGGGATATCCAGTATTTTCGACATTCTCATTATTTGGGAGTCAGGTATATTTAAGATATTCTTATAAATTGGCCGGATATCCAGTATTTAAGATATTCTTATAAATTGGAATATTCAGTGTTTAAGATATTCTTATCAATTGGGATATCCAGTGGTTAAGATATTCTAATCAATAGAGATTTCCAGAATTTTAGATATTCTTATCAATACTAATATCAAGTATTTAAACTACTATTATTCTTATAAGAATAGAGTGATTTTACTTCAGGGGCAAATGGACAGTCACTTGTTTCATTAAAAGAATTCCATGAACAGTTCGCCATTCCATTTAAGTATGGTGACAGAGAAAAACCTTGGCCACGTTCAACAATTCTACTTTATAAATACAGCTCAAAAGCAACATTAAAGTATGGGGACATTCCTGAGAACACTTGGATAAGGATAGACAACGCAATAGGAAAACATGCCGAAATAATTATGATAAAAGATCTGAAGAAAATTCAGCACCACTTGGAAGAACAGGCAGATTATAATGTAGGAAGTTATAAAGGTATATTCAGCATAGAAGTCATTCTAAACTACTCACCAGATAGTGATTGTTCCAACAAATTGTGTATTTGTAAGAAATATCTGGATGAAGAAATAGTCAAGCAACGGACAAACGGAAATGAAGGCCCTGCTGATAAGGTTAGGAAAATGTTCCTGACAACAGAAGTTGAAAAGGTAGAAAAAATTAATTTTAAAATCACCTTTTCAAACTTTTATAAACATATTGAGGAATTATATGGAACAGAAAACATGGAAGGATTAACAAATCTTTTGAAAAGTGATATAAAACTTGATATATTGACAGATGAGAATTTGATATATTTTTTTAATGCTGCTGGGTTAGTAACTGAGAGACAAAGAAGAGAAAAGGATGACAAGAAAATTCTCCAATATCTTAAAGGATTAGCAGCTCTTGATCAGACCAATATAGACTACCTGAGAGAACATAACCTTGTGTAGTAGTTATCATAAACAATAACTTGGAAGTAGTTTTGGTGATTTATTTATTTAGGTTATTTAAATGACAACCGTGATAAAAACATAAAAGTAACATGAAAGGTAACCCATGTTACTGCATATGCATGAGGGAGATATAGTCCTTAATTTAAAATTAAATTCATATCTTATAACAAGTTTTCTTTTATTATTAAACAATATTAGCACATTCATGCGATTCGAAAAGTTCTGGAAACGGGACTGGCGATACCTTTAGATCTCAAAGCCCAATAGCAGATGTACCATAAACAGCTAGTACTATAGAATATACACACTCGTACCAAATACTTGTTTAACTGTTATCTAATTAAAACACTTTATATGTTAAAAATATTATTGCAGTCCTAACAAAAGATCATACGCTGACATGTCTGGCCTGCTTTACTGACCATTGATTTTATGTTGATAGTCCTTAATATAAAGCTTTACTACAAGTATCACAAGAAAATGAGGTTAAGGTCAGATAAAACCCAACCGGAAATACTTGTACACCTTACAATCATTCCATACACCAAATGTAGTTGACCTATTGCTTATAGTTTCTAAGAAACAAAATTAACCAGGAAAACTTAACATTGACCAATGAACCATGAAAATGAGGTCAAGGTCAGATGAACCATGCCAGACAGACATGTACACCTTACAATCAATCTATGCATCAAATATAGTTGACCTATTGCTTATAGTTTCTAAGAAAAAAACTTAACCATGAAAACTTAACATTGCCCAATGAACCATGAAAATGAGGTCAAGGTCGGTTGATACCTGTACAACTATTCCATACATCAAATATAGTTGACCTATTGCTTATAGTTTAAGAAAAACAGACCAAAACACAAAAACTTAACACTGAGCACTGAGCAATGAACCGTGTAAATGAGGTCAAGGTCAAATAAAACCTGCCAGACTGAAATGTACATCGTTAAATATTTCCATACACCAAATATTGTTGACCTATTGCACATAGTATTAGAAAATGACCAAAACAAAACTTAACCACTGAACCATGAAAATGAGGTCAAGGTCAGATGACACCTTCCTGTTGGCCACATACACCTTACAATCATTCCATACACCAAATATAGTAGACCTACTGCTTATAGTATCTGATATATCGAATTGACCATGAAAACTTAACCTTCTTCACTGATCCATGAAATGAGTTCATGGTCAGAAGAAAACTGTCTGACAGGCATGAGGACCTTGCAAGATATGCACTTACTAAATATAGTTATCCTTTTACTCATAATAAGAGAGAAATTTATATTACAACAAATCTTAACTTTTTTTTCCAAGTAGTCACTGAACCATGAAAATGAGGTCACGGACAATGAAATATGACAGACAGAAACTTCATAATACAAGGCATCTATATACAAAGTTTGAAGGATCCAGGACTTCTACCTTCTGAAATATTAAGCATTTAAATAGTTATGCAACAGAAGTCGCAGGCTTGACAAAAAACATCTTTCAGATGTTTTTGCCAGTTTCTTGCTTATGATATGGTGGTAAATGATTTACATTTCTCATATTTCAAGTAAAACTATTGAAGTTAATTAACTTCCGGAGGAAAAATCTGGTTATTATTTTGTGAAGTAAGGCTGTAATCAGTTTCCGAGCAAAAAATCATGAATCTTACTGATGACAAAATTAAGGTCAAGTTCGATATGGATGATCTTCACTTTTACCGTTCAGGAGTTATGGTCTTGGAAATATGGGAAAATGGCAGTTCATGTCGTTTTTGTTCAATAATTATAGGAACCTTTCTACAAATGCTTTTCAACTTGTAATATGTTGTTACTGATGACAAAATCAAGGTCAAATTTGATATGGACGATTTTCACTTTTGTCGTCCAGGAGTAATAGGTTGTCACTGAAGAAAAAATGGTGATTTGTTTGCTTATTTGATTTTTAGGCAGTTAAGCTGCCTTATACGAGCACCCTAGATTTGTGCTCTACCCAATAAATGCTGAAATACGTGCCATTGTTATTATCTAGCTGGCTTTTATGTTATTTATAACTAATTGGACATTTTTTTAATACTTGTATTTCTGGAATAATAGAGGAAATAAAGTTATATAAGTGGGCGGTAATTTTTAATTTATCTTGCCAAATAAGGATGTTGTTATTTTATGAATGAAACGAGGTCATGAAACAGATGCGAAAATCGACGTTGATGGGATGTTTTAAGTAATGTGGACAACTTGTCCCCGAGACAAGTCGGACCGAATCCACTCAAACCGTCTAAGAAGACAACTTTGACCGTTTGTCAGATTTACTTAGGGTTTCATAAAATATTAGTCTAACAGGTCTAGCGGAGCCATTAATCTTTTGTTTGTGCATTGGGGTCTATTTAGGGGTATTTGGAGGGGCCTGAAGAAGGCAGGGGTTAACTAAAGAACCCTATGGGATTTTATTTTTTAAAATTTTCTTATGACTATTTCTCGAAAACAGTAAGTGATAGACACATGCAGTCTTCAGTAATGAGAACTAGACAATAAAAAAATCAACCAAAATATAGGGCGAGTCCCTGGGGGTCATCCCAACCCCCTTCAATTTGAAAATGTACTTTTATCTTGTAAACCGTCGCGATCCCCACCCCTAAACAATATAAGTACTTGTATGGGACAATAAAAGAAAACAAATGAAAATAATTTGGGGGAGTCCCCGGTGTCGTCTAACCCCCTCCTGTTTGAGAACTTGGAAATGGTCGAGATCCTCACCCCTTAACCATATATATTCATGTATGGGACAATATAACAAATCAAATGAAATATAGGGGGAGTCCCTGGGGTCACCCCAACCCCTCCTGTTTGAGAACTTGGAAATGGTTGAGATCACCACCCCTAAACCATATATATTCATGTATGGGACAATAAAACAAATCAAATGAAATATAGGGGGAGTTCCTCGGGTCACCCCACCCCCTCCTGTTTGAGAACTTGGAAATGGTCGAGATCCCCACCCCCAAACCATACATATTCATGTACCTTCTTCACTGATCCATGAAATGAGTTCATGGTCAGAAGAAAACTGTCTGACAGGCATGAGGACCTTGCAAGATATGCACTTACTAAATATAGTTATCCTTTTACTCATAATAAGAGAGAAATTTATATTACAACAAATCTTAACTTTTTTTTCCAAGTAGTCACTGAACCATGAAAATGAGGTCACGGACAATGAAATATGAGAACTTGGAAATGGTCGAGATCCCCACCACTAAACCATATGTATTCATGTATGGGACAATATAACAAATCAAATGAAATATAGGGGGAGTCTCTGGGATCACCCCACCCCCTCCTGTTTGAGAACTTGTAAACGGTTGAGATACACACACCTAAACCATATTTATTCCTGTTCATCATTTCAAAAAAGATTTGAATGACAAACAGGGTCAATCGCCTAGGTGTCACATATGCATATCACTTTACTAGACCAAACCAATATGAACTGGACTTTGCCCAATGTCAGGAGACCATGGCAATGACGAATTATGGGGGCTTTGTTTGGGAGACTTCGTAACGGCATCCTGTTACAATTATTTCTTGTTAATTATAAATTTTTATTGATGCAAAAAATGAGCCTAGGTTAATTGAATTTACTTTAATTATTTATTAAATTATTTCTGGGCCTATAATAATTTTCATTTATGGCTCATTTTAAAGAAAACATATAAATCTTTCAAGCAGTGTAAAGCCCGAAAATGTTTGACCAACTGTTTTATAATCACCTGTCATTTTATTCCAAACTTAGTATGGAGTAACATCATGCACTTGGGGGTGAAGATGGGGGTCATTTACATTGATATATGAGTTGCTTTTGAAAACCTTGATGAAATATTATTTAATTTGCTTTTATGATCAATTCATTTAATGAACATAAACGTACAATATATGAATGTTTAATGTTTGTTCTTTCAAATCTTAAAAAAAAATTGAAGCAATAAAATTGAGAATGGAAATGGGGAATGTGTCAAAGAGACAACAACCCGACCATAGAACAGACAACAGCAGAAGGTCACCAACAGGTCTTCAATGCAGCGAGAAATTCCCGCACCCGGAGGCGTCCTTCAGCTGGCCCCTAAACAAATATATATACTAGTTCAGTGATAATGAACGCCATACTAAACTCCAAATTGTACACAAGAAACTAAAATTAAAAATAATACAAGACTAACAAAGGCTAGAGGCTCCTGACTTGGGACAGGCGCAAACATGCGGCGGGGTTAAACATGTTTATGAGATCTCAACCCTCCCCCTATACCTCTAGCCAATGTAGAAAAGTAAACGCATAACAATACGCACATTAAAATTCAGTTCAAGAGAAGTCCACACACTGCCACAGTTTTCATAATTACGTTTGCCTTGGTTTTTGGTTAACTGCCTACAGCGCTTACAGTGCTTTGATTTGTTGTTTTCTCTCTGTTCATTATATAAGGTAATGCAAAAAAGTTATCTGTACAATTGCTGTAAATTCAAAAATCATTGCGTGCATTTATCATTGCGATTTTTAAAGAATGGACAAAAATGCAAGATCAATGATTGCGATTTCAGTAAAATCTGCACACACATATATGAAACAGATATCAAAATGCAAGTTCTTATTATTGTGATACTCACCCAATCGCATTATTCACATTAATAAAAACCTTGCAATAATTTCTGAATTTACAGTTTACAAGAGTCCCAATTGATGTACATTTAAGCAAATATAGTTCACTATAGTTTTCAATATAATTGCCGAAAAATATCGTTAATTCCTTTTTTTTAATAGGTCTTGTTTTTCTTATATTTTTTTGCTGTTTAATTTTTTTCTCTCAATCTTATATAAATTTAAAATAAATAGCAAAATGCATAGATAATTTATTAAAGATAGTTATAAAAGTTTGAGTAAATAAGTAAACATTATGGGGAAATAACTCTATCAAAAGTCAATTGAAAATGTTGGTTATGGTTCATATCAAAGGGCAATTACTACTATAAGTTAACTGACATTTATGACATTGTGCTGCTATTAGTTTTTCTTTATCTACAATATATTTTTGACCAAAAATTCAAAAATTGGTAAAAATTGTCGTTTAGGGGCAATAATTCCTATAAGGGGTCAACTAAAAATTTTGA